GCCTGGTTTCAGCTGCTGATATTGAACGTCTTCATCCTCTCTTCCCACAGATGTAGTCATTTGATCTGTGTATCTCATCTGAAGAAGTCCATGTGTAGAGTCACCTTGTGCATTATTGAAAAAGTATTTGGAATGAAGAAATTGTTAGTCCTTGCAAAATTGTCTCATGTAATCATCCGCTTAGTTTTTACTCACCAAGACCATATTTTCCAATCATTAGCTTCAGTGGTTGGTGCATAAATTTGGTTAATAGTTGTATTGATAGGATTTCCTTGCACGATGATAGACATTAACAAATAGGCAGCATTGCTCTTCAAGTTGATCTCAAAATGTCCTTTTTGGTGATGAATAAAATGGCATTCCTCTTGATTGTGTCATTCCTGGCATATGATTTTCTGATTCAAAGTGGCCAGTATCAGCCCATTTGAACTCACTAATTTCCAGAATGTCAATCTTTATGCATTCCATTTCATCTTCAATGACACAAGTTTTCCTAGACCCATACTTCAAACATTCCAAGTTTGGATTGATTATGAATTGATGTTTGCGGCTGTTTCTTCTCATTTGACTTGTATCCTCCCAGAGAATGAGGGTCCTGAAGGCTTTACTCCCACAAGCCTTTACCCATCTCTATCAATATGGTTGCCTCTATTTTGAGAAGGCAGCTCTTCCTGTTATATTTTGAGTGCCTTCTCAAAGAATTCCAGAAAATCAAGTGGGATTCAAGACAGGACATGGAACATAGTCTATCACTACTAGTGTCAGATGGATCACCGCTAAAGTTGTAAGGACAAGACAGATGTTTACCTGGTTTTTATGGACTATGAACAAACATTCAACTATGTGGATCATAACAAATGATGGATACTATTGCAAAGAAGTTACTTAGTATGACATAGTATAAAGCTAATGGATTCAGAAAGGAACAATTACTTCTGTCAGCTCTTTGCAGTGTTTGAAGAAATCGAGTAGCAACAATATAATGAACAGCTGGAAGGAGGAAAGTCAGCATGAAAAACAACAGCTGAGAAAGTGCACACACACACGCACACACATGTATGTGCACACTCACACACATGCGCACGCACAGAGAAAAAAAGATCATCCTATTTCATGTATCAAAACAAATAGAATGTTAGCTATGTAAATCTAATAAAATGCAATACTTTTAAGGAAACATATTAACACTAGCCTTAATTGGCTTCTGTGAGTTAAGTTTATACATTGTATATCTGGAAAAACTTCCCTAAATGATTTAAGATTATGGGTAAAAGTCTCTTAATCACTGTATCTCCTACCGAGGAAGATTAACATGTTGGTTTATAGTTTTCTGTTGCAGTTTTACCCAGAGATCTGTGTTTTCATACAGAGAAAACATAAAAGTGAGCTTGAATCTGGATAATAATTGGGATATTTTAGGTGCTAAAATAAAACAAATTAAAATGTAATCATGTCTAACGAAAACTTCAAACCAACTATGAAAGACCAATCCATATGATTAGGATTATAGTTTTATATTTTCTTCCAAAAAACCTGAAATAAGTATGCCAAAAAATGTATCGGATAAATACGCAGTGGCAACAATATATCCTGGGAGCCCTGACAGCATGGTGGGCTACATTTTAGGCTGCTAAGGCCAAGGTCAGCAGTTTTAACCCATCAGCTGCTCCAAGACAAAGATGAGGCTTACTGTTCTAGAAAAGATTTATAGCCTCAGAAATCCAAAGGGGAAGGTCAACAATATCCAGTAGGTCACTATGAGTCAGAAGTTCAAAACCACCAGCCACACTTACAGGTTTTTCTGCTCCTGTAAACAGTAACCATCTCAGCAAAGCACAGGGGTAGTTTTATCCTGTCCTATGGGGTCCCTGTGTGTGGTCATCAACTTGATGGAAGTGAGTGAGCCTGCACCAGACTGCTCAGTGCAGACGTTGTTTGATTGTAGATCCAAGTAAAATAAAACTCTTGACAACTCCAAATTTGTTTTCTGTGTAATATGGTGCTTCTCATTGGTCCAGTTATAAGGAGTTTGGTTTCCCTCCCGTTGAAGCATAATCTGTATTGAAGGCTTTGGTCTTTGGTCTTCATCAGTAATTACTTTAAGTCTCCTCTGCTTTCAGCCAGCAAGATCATGTCACATGCACTGAGGTAGGTTTACCGCATAGCCACAACGAGTCCACACCGATAACCCAATAATGCCACTCAACCATCACCAGGTGTTTGGGTTCAAACATCTGATCTTTCAGTTAGCAGCCAAGAGCTGTGTCACCTGGGCTCTTGTTTACAAATAAAATCCAAGAGGAATGAAAATAGTGTCCATCAAAAGATTTTTATGCTAACATCCTAACAGCTTTATTCATTATAGTAAAAAAGAAACAATCCAAATTTTCCTCAGCAGAAGAATAGATAAACAAAGCCTGGTATGTCCATACAGTGGAATATTATTTGGCAATTAAAAAGGAATGAGCCTCAGAAACATTATGTTCCGTGAAAGAAGTCTGATGCAAAAGATCACAGATTATGTAATTCCACTAAATGAATAAAGTTGTTATAGATATCTTTCATGTTGTTATAGATCTCTTTCAAGGAGTTGTACACTCATATTTTGGGGGAACCTAGTGAGGAGTAGATGTGTTGGTTCAAAGGTGAAGCAAATCTATAACCTAGCCAGAAACGACTATAAAGTTTTCCAAAGTCATACAAACAATTACTCTTACAATATCTACAAGGTCCAGCTGTGCTATTTCCTCACTAATGGTTGGAATTGTCAATCTTGTTTTAATTTTAGCCATGCAGCTGGGCATTAGAGGAGCCTGGTAGGGCTTTAATTTTCATTTACCTGATGAAGAATGAGCTTGACCACATTGCCATATACATACTTCAAGATTTTTGCTGAGATCCTTCATAAATACTCCTTATTCTGGATATGAATCTTTTATAAGTATTTGGGGTTTTTTGGTTTTTTTGCATTTTTTCTTTTCTTTTTTTTTTAAATCAATTTATTAGGGCTCATACAATTCATCACAATACATAGATCAACTGTGTAAAACACACCTATACATTTGTTGCCCTCATCATTCCCAAAGTTCGCTTTCCTCTTGGGTTCCCGGAATCAGCTCATTTTCCTTTTTTCCCCT